TGAGCTGCTGCTTGAAGAAAAGCTTTAAAGTATTTATAAAAGTAATAGGTTTGATGATTAATATTATGATCAGTTTTGTTGATTTTCATGAATTGTTTTTCAGCAGATTCAGCGAGTTCACGAAGGAATTTAATTGAAGTTGAAGTTTTAAATGAAGCTGGATGTTCGTTATCTTTATAGAAAATTGAAAAGTCTAAGGTAGTATAAGTCCATACTGGTTGGTTAGATTTGGTAGATGGGTTTGATTTGTCAGAAACTGGAGCAGGAAATTTTTTAAAAGATTGATCAAAATAATATGTCGAGAAATTTTGAAAATTATGTTCAGTATCAGATGAAAGGACTGTGCATTTATGTTCATCGGAATTTTTGCAAGTATAAACATAAAAAAAGCAAGTTTTCTAACTAATAGAGTACACTCTTGAAGAGATGTAATAGATTCAATAATGAAAGATTGGGGTAGTAATTTTTTATGCTCTTCAGCATATTTGGTTGCTGTTTGATATTTGAGAAAGTTAAGAACTTTGGTTTTTATGATGTTTGGAGAGTGATGTTTATAAATTTCAAAGAATTTATAAATTAGTTTTTGAGAATTGCTTTGTGTGGTTTAAGAGAAGGTATTTGGAAGGTATTTTTAAATTTTTCTGTATTAATATTGAAAGAAATATTAATATTTAATTTTTCATCATTTTATATTTGAAAAAAAGCTTTGTTAATTAAGTTATAACTAATGTTATAATGTAAAGTAAAACGAAGTGGTTGAAGCTTTAGATCTTTTGCAAATTTTTTTGCATGAATTGTTTTATAAATAAAGTTAAGAAAAAGATGTAAACATACAAGATTAATAACAATTTGAAGTTGATTTTGAAATGTATATGGTGGGATAGTATAATAAGATTGGAAAATTTTTTTATAATTAAGTTTTGTAAAAAGTATAATAAGAAATTTAGAGAGAATAAGTTTTAGAATATTAATTAAGATTCCTGTAGAATTGGAATATGAGTGTCAATTGATGGATTAGTTTTATGAACTAAGTTCATTAAGAATTAGGGTTTTTGCTCTGCCATATTTTTTAATAAGTAATCAAAAGAGTATTTAAAAGTAGATTTAATATCTGGGTTTTCAGAAGGAATGGTTTTATTAGGTGTAAATTGAATTAAATTGGGTTTAAGAAACTCAAATAATTGTTGAAAAAGTAGGGTATTGAGTTTTGAGTTGGGTTCCATTTCTTTTGTAACTGGAAATAATTTAAACCAATCAAGATCTTGAAAAGTATCATGTTTTTGTTGTTGAGATTTGGCATTCTTTTTAGGAAATTTAGATAAAATTTCTTTAAAGAATTCTAATTTTTTAGTTTTATTAAGTAAAATAAATTTGAATATATGAGCTATTTTCTTTTGTTCTTGAATTAAAGATTTAGTTTGAGGAAGATGATGTAATTTGATATCAATAATTCTGTGAGTACAATTACGATGAATGAGTCGAGTTCTAAAAAGAATTGCTGTGGTATAATCTGGTAAATGTTTGTTTTCTTAGGAAAGAATATAACGAAGTTTTTTGATATTGCATAAAACACATGTATGAATATGTTGAAAGTAAGGAATAATAGCAGTTGGTGTAGGATTGATATTGAATGAAGTTAAAAGAATAGTGGAATTAGGAAGTTGGGTTGCAAGTTGTTTAACAATTGGAGATGTGGGTAGAGTATCACTAATTGGATTGTACTTTTTGTGTTTCGAGTCTTTCCAGCCTAGTTAATATGCGTTGTAAAAGGTCTTGCATTTGTGTTTGATTTTCTGTATTTATATCTTTTCTGTTTCTTCTTCTATTTTTGTATTTTT